CTTAACATATTTCAAAAACTAGCACATTGATACAAAATTTTTTAATACTGTCCTAATACTTAAGGATATTACTTACAAATTGACATTAAAATTATTGTTCTTAATTGCATAACTCGAGAGTTAGGGCTGTTTGAATATGACCCTTTTGCGAGGGTCATGTATGTAGAGCCTCATATGAGCGCTATTAATTTTCGATAATGGATTAAATAAAAATACACTATAACTTTTAAGAAACTTTTAAGGGCATTAAGTATTATTAATTTAATAATTGTTCAAAATGTCCACCTCTATTCTGTAGACAGGCTACTGACCTTACAGCCATTTGTTGTGTGGCCCTTGATATTAAGACTATGTCGGATCTTATGTCATCCGCAATCGTCATTATTTTGTCGAGCAGTTCTTGTCTGCTATTTGGGACTGTAGCATAAACCCTCTGCTTCATCCATCCCCATAAAAAATAATCCAGAGGTGTTAAATCCGGAGAGCGAGGTGGCCAAGCTACCGTTCCACCACGTCCTATCCATGGTGAATAATTTTCATTAAGAAAAGCTCTCACAGCACGTGCGTAGTGACCTGGTGCACCGTCCAACTGTAGCCACATGCGCCTTCGGTTGATCACTGGTAATTTCTCCATGATTTCTCTAAATGTGTTCCTTAGAAAATCCAAAAATCTTAGGCCATTCATTGTATTTGGTAATTCAATTGGTCCAATTAATTTGTCATCAATCATAGCCGCCCACACATTTACTGAAAATTCATGTTGAAATTTACTGGGCCTTACTGCATTTGGATTTTCTTGCATCCATAAATGCTGGTTTCTATGGTTTATAATACCAGCTCTTGTAAAAGTCGCCTCATCGGTCCACATGATTTTTTTACAAAATGTCGGTTGACGTCGCACACAACCGTTGAGCCACGAGCAAAAAGTGGCTCGCACAGCATAGTCTGGCTCTCGAATATCTTGTACGCGACGAAAATGGTACGGATGCATGCCTTCGCGTTTAAAATTTCCACACAACCCATTTTGACAAATGCAGCATCATTGCTATTCGCCTTACACTGAGCCTGGGATCACGGTAAATTAATTGAAGAACTTCTTCTTCTGCTTGCACTGACTCTATGCGGGAGCGTTCATTTGGCGGCCTTTGGATGCCATATTGCGACAATCTTAAGTGAATGTCAACAAAAGTTTGTCGACTGACAAATCGACTACTAATCATTTTCCGTCCTTGTCACATAAACCCTATTCAATGTAGCAGGTAGCTCTACATGGGTTTGGGACCGTCGCAAAAGGGTCATATTCAAACAGCCCTAACTCTCGAGTTATGCAATTAAGAACAATAATTTTAATGTCAATTTGTAAGTAATATCCTTAAGTATTAGTACAGTATTAAAAAAATTTGTATCAATGTGCTAGTTTTTGAAGTATGTTAAGAAAAATAAAAGAAATAGTCAATTTTTTTCACTTAAATTAGCATTGTAAATGTTTTAAGATATTTTGTAAGGAAAACTTTCCATGATTTTTATTTTTATTTGATAGATGCTATTTTTACCTTTTAAATAACATTTTTTTTTACATCTGTAGGACCTTCCTGTCCAGAGAAATCTGCATCTTTTGGCAGAGGTATCTACAAGAATAAAAAAAAATTAAATGGCGGCCATTCCGACAGGAGGGGGCGTAGACCCCAATATATGGGTGTTTTCGTCGATGAAATTAGGTATATTTTGTAACCTTAAATTATCGCTAGGTCGTGACCAGACACACTGTATAATCAATATGAAATACTCTATCCTCTAGTGCAGAAAAAAACTGTTATCCTATGAATATTTATTTATAATCTACGTTTATTTTGTACGCCATTTTCGCGTGAATGTTATTATATATGTATTTTTGTAGTGTTTTATTAGTGTTTTAGTATAGTGTTTTATTATAAAATTGTAATGAAAGTTTTTGTGTGAATATAATTTATCTTTTTACGTAAGTAATTTCGAGTAATATATATTGAAATAATTGTGATTTTCACGCTGCCGACATTCGCTTGGTATATTTTTTTTTTGTTATCAAAATGCAATAAAATGTTTTTGTAATGAAGTAAACCTGACTTTTGATTAGACCACAAGATAGAAAATTTTGTATAGATTTTATAATGCTAAACTTCTTCATAGAAAAGTAGTCTCTTATAAGTTTTAATGGTTTTAAGTGCTGTGGGTGGGTGCAGTCGCATGCGACCGCTCGGGATTTGCCGGGCGCATGCGACTGCATGGGATTTTTATGGCGCTTGAAGGGTTAAAACGAACCGAAAGAACATTAGATGAACATAAACCTAGTGAGCATGCAGGTTTTTGTAGACGACTCGGGGATTGACCATATCCACGTATTACGCCATGCTTGAGATAAATATAATGAATACGTACATACAACATTGCATTCGTGAATTATAGCAAAGCATTTGATTCTTTTTTCCACAAAAAGATATGGAAGACACTAATGAAACACAAATAAAATTAGCTTAATAAAGAATGTATACAGTCACAGTTTCGCGAGAATTCAACTAGAAAAGAAACGCGATCCATTCAGAGTAGGAAAAGGCGTTAGATAAGGAGACTAATTATGTCCAAAACTTTTCTCAGCGGTACTGAAATCAATTTTCAGAAGTCTCAATTGGGAAAAGCTCGTCATCAACGTGGACGGTCAGACGGTGTCTCACTGACGCACTTGAGATTCACAAATGGCATATTGTTATTTGCTGAAACAGCGGAACACATACGAAGAATGATAAGCGCTTGCCAGCGAAACAAGTGTACGTAGTGACGAACGGATCGAAAAACGCCATAAACTCAGAAAACACGCAAACTGATTATGCGGACGAATATATTCACCCGAGACTGAAAACGATCCTATTCCCAAAGAAGTTGAGAGAAGAATAATCAATAGCTTAAGGAGATACTCGGGCTTGCGAGAAGTCATGAAAGATTAAATGCTTCATATAAATATAAAAAGTTAATTATTTAACACATGCATAAGGACATGTAGGTCCTTATGTATATGGGCTTTAATACGTAATTTGACAAACAAACTCGCAACCTGCCAGCACGTAATCAAAAGGAGTCAATGTGAAGAAGATATACAGATTGATAACCGTGTCATAAAAACCAAGACAAAGGTCATAAATATAACTTGTAAAATCAAAAGACTGAAGTGGCGATGGGCAGGGCACATAAGAAGACAAGACAAATGGAACAAAATTGTGACACGATGGTACCATAGACTAGAGAAGGAAAGAGTAATATAGGCAGAAAATGGATAGCGATCTCAGACAAATGGCAGGAGCAATGTGTAAAAGATTGTCTCAAGAAAGAGATGAATGGAAAAAGTTGGAGGGGACCTTTACCGACTGGCAAACAGATCTGCAGACAATAAACGTGGTCTTCTTCAATATTTTGAGTGTAAATAGTTTGATTTGAATAAAATATTATATTATTATTATGGATTGTATAGTCTATGTATACTATTGTTTACAGAACATCTCACATGGTGTATAGAATATAGATAAAAAGTTGCTCGCATACTATTGACCGCCCGCACATTTTCGGGGCTGACTGAAAATCAGCGCTGCAAGCTCGCGGCTTATGCTGCGACGTTTCCTTCATAAAAGTACACGATTTTTGTTTTAATATGTGTATATGTGTGTGTATCTGCATACACATATGTCATACGTTCTTTTTTACTTCTTTTTTCTATTTCCTTTTATTTTACAAGTTTTTTTCTCAAATTGCATTGTGTTATGTGTGAGATGCAATTGTAGGAATAAATATATTTACTTAAAGTACGGTAGGTGTAAGAATATTAACTACTTGTTACAAGCTTGGGGCTCGCGACAATTGAAAACTACCGAGTGAATTACCAAAATTGACACTTTAATTACAGAACACTAATTACAAATTAAAACCACACTAATAACAAAACACAATTGTAATAAATAACAGAATTGTACTACTGCTCACTTCGCAATTGTATCGCTTCGAAGTATTCCCTTGAATTGCCAATTCAACTCGGTCGCGGTCTAACCGGCTTTATATAGGCCCACTTCTACTGAAACATCTGGAATATTCGAGTACATACCGGTGCCGACTGACTAGGTGTCGGTAGTTCTAGAAAGTTCTTCTATGGAAATTTCTAGAAGGATCTTGACTATCCTAGTTCTGCTACTCGATACTAGAAGGCGCTAGTGGTAACTAGTGTCGCTATGTACCAGGCATTAATTGTGGCGTGCAACATACTTAATATTTTCCCGTGGGTATTGTAAGAGGCGACATCAGTAGATGGGTAGCAGCGTCTTCCTAAGATCGACTAAAAATAAAAAAGCAACGCGCTCGCTACGCGCGGCGGCTGCTACAGGTGAGGCCCGTATATACATACTGTGGTGGACCTTGACAGGATGTAACGGTATGTACTTTGTCCAATCTTCGTTCTATGTACAATTTGTTCTTCTTTGGAACGCTTTTCCGCAATAAGGATGGTTGAAAACGAGTTTTTCTTTAAATCCAAAATACGAGAGCTTCTCGTAAATAAAATGGCTGAGTCAACTCCGCGTTCTTAGTTAAATAATCTAATGTATTGTAACGTGTTTTATATACAGGATTTATTTTCTTTTACTTGTACTACGTCAGTGTGCTGTTTAAGAATATCCACTACTCCACATTGCGACGCGGGTGTCGCCGGTGGGGATGAGGCGACAAAGGAAGATAAACTAAGAGATGGGCGGCAAGGTGTTCTTGATAACAAATGAAAATTATAAAAAACTGATCGCCAAGCGTGGCAGTCATAACAAAATGCCCTGATGAGGTAATCTACGGGGGAGGCTTATGTTCAGCTGTGGACTTTAATAGGCTGTAACGATAACACTTCCATAATGCCGCAGCATCCACCTACTATCAAGGGGACTGTGTGCAAAAGCATGGTATTAGGAAGGCAGTGTGCGAGCGATATGTGTGCGCAGCGCTGGTGGGGAGCGCGGTGCCGTACGGCGCGCTGTACGCGGGCGCGCTGCGTGTGGCGCGGGCCGTGGCAGGCGGCGGGGTGCGCAGCGGGGCGGCGGGCGGGGCGGTGAGCGAGGCGGCGGACACGCTGCGGCGGGAGCTGCGCGACGCACAGGGCCCGCTGGCGGCCGGCGCACCCTTGACCGCCTGGCAGTTGCGTGACTCCCTCGAGCACCTGGCCAACTTCCTAGAGGTAACGTGTATACATACACATATTACTGAGTCAGGTAGACAAAGACTACGGACTTCCATTTCGTAACGATCTTAACACTCCTCCATTCATCATCATCATCATTACAGCTCTTCACAACCACAAAGCACGGTTTCCATCTAGTGGGGGGTTGCCCTACACTACGCCTACCGGTACGAGGCTGCCACTCGAGAACCTTTCTTCCCCATCGGTTATCGATTCTTCGAGCTATATGGCCGGCCCATTGCCACTTCAGCTTACTAATCCGTTGGGCTATGTCGGTCACTCTGGTTTTACTGCGGATATCCTCATTTCTGAGTCTATCACGCAGAGAAACTCCGAGCATAGCCCTCTATATAGCTCGCTGAGTGACCTTGAGCGTCCTCATACGGCCAGCAGTGAAGGACCACGTCTCAGTTCTATAAGTCATCACTTGCAACACGCACTGGTTGTGCAATATAATTTTTTCAAGTTTTGAGGTATACCTGACGAGAAGTAATTTCTCGAACGCTGCCCAGCCGGGTTGAATCCGTCGATTGACCTCTCGGTAGAAGTTGGACTTACCTAGTCGGACTAATTGTCCCAGGTAAACGTACTCGTCAACAACTTCGAGCATAGTGCTCCCAACAACTACCGGCATAGGTGTGACGTGGACATTAAATATGATCTTTGTTTTTTTTCATGTTCATCTTAAGACCTATCCGTTGGGAGACACCATTGAGGTCATTGAGCATAGTGCTAAGGTCCTCCAGCGATTCTGCCATAAGGACTATATCGTCGGCAAATCGAAGGTGAGTGATGTACTCGCCATTAATGTTAATACCGTATCCTTTCCAGTCCAGTAGCTTGAAAACGTCTTCCAACGCAGCGGTGAAGAGTTTCGGGGATATAACGTCACCCTGTCTTACACCTCTCTGCAGTTGGATAGGTTTCGAACTCTGGTTCTGTACTCGGATAGCCACAGTCAACTTGGCACCGCTGAAGGGACTGTAGCACCGCCCAAATTTCGACGGAATCAAAGGCTTTCTCATAGTCCACATATGCCAGGCAAAGTGGCAGATTGTACTCTTCGGTCTTCTGTACAATCTGCCGCAGGGCATGTATGTGGTCTATTGTACTGATGGCTTTTCGGAAACCGGCTTGTTCGGGAGGCTGGAAGTCGTCGAGTCTGCGTGCGAGACGATTCGTAATGACTCTCGAAAACAGCACGTAGACGCGGTTTAGAAGGGAAATCGGTCTGTAGTTTTTCAAGATAGCGTTGTCGCCTTTCTAAAAGAAGAAGACCACCGCACTTCTGCTCCACGTCTCCGGAGTAGTGCCACCACGGAGGACGGAATTGAAGAGCTTCTGAAGGACTAGTACCGGTGTTCCACCCGCTTTCAGAAGCTCCGCTGTAATTCCATCCTCGCCCGGGGCCCTGCCGTTTTTAAGGTGCTGGAGAGCCATTCTAAACTCGCTCAGACTGACGTCCGGGATATCATCGGAATAGTGTCGGATAAGACTTACTCTTGGATCGTTACTCACACTTGCGTGTGGCTCCAACGATGATGTGTACAGCTGCCCATAGAACCTCTCAACCTCACTCAAAATCTCAGGTGTCCCGGAAACGATGCTGCCACACTCAGTCTTCAGCTTTGACAGTTGGCTCTTTCTGGCAGACAGATCTCTGGCAAAGACTTTGGAGCCCTGGTTCCGCTCAATCGCTTCTTTAATACGAGCAGTATTAAAGTTGCGTAAGTTTCGCCGCATGCATTTGGAGATCTGTCTGTTCAGTTGCCTGTATGCTGTCAAATCTGTTGACGATTGCAGCCTCATCTCCCGTCTAACAGCCATGAGATTAAGAGTGTGATCGGAGAGTTTTTGTGTTCTTCTGCGGCGGGTCTTGCAGAACTTAGCTCCGACAGCATGGACAGTTTTCACGAGCTTGTCATTCATATCGTCCACTGCATTTCAATCTTCTAGGCACTGAAAGCGGTTACGTAACTCGAGCTGAAAGGTTTCGGGATTCTGGATTAGAGCACGTGGGGGACGGAGCGTTGACTTCATTAGACGAGACCTCTCCAACTTAACGTTTAGGTTCAGTGTGCCTCTAACCATTCGGTGATCGCTACCAGTTTTCACCCTTGTGATCACTGGGACATCACTGAACAGTTGGAGTCTGGTCGTCATAATGAAGTCAATCTCATTTTTTGTCGAACCGTCGGGGCTCGACCAAGTCCACTTCCTGTGGGGCCGCTTCTGGAAGAAAGAGTTCATCATAAAGAGTCCCTCTTTCTCCATAAAGTCGGCCAGCTGCTGGCCCTTTCGGTTCCGTAGCCCTACTCCAAATTTCCCTAACTTCAGCTCACCACTTTCTCTTGTGCCTAGTTTTGCGTTGAAGTCTCTCATCAACACAGTGTAGTGCGTTTTGGAGGAATGCATGGCTCTGGAAATATCCTCATACATTTCCTTCACTTCCTCATCGGGATGTGCCGAGGTTGGTGCGTAAACCTGTATGACCTTCGGCGAATACCGTTTGGTGATTCTGAGTATCAGGTTTACGACCCTCGTCAACACACTCCCAATCTTTACAACGTTGTTGACGGGAGACTTGTGGACGATAAATCCGACACCTCCTTGGGACAGATGGTCGCCCTCCCGGTGATAGAACAAGTTGCCGAACTCGAGGATTACCGTGTCCTCCCCCTCTCTTCGGACCTCGGATAATCCAATAATATGCCAGCGCAACTTGTCTACTTCTCCTTCCAGCTCCAGTATCTTCTCGTCAGTCCTCAGGGTGCGTGCGTTAAATGTTGCCAGGTCGAGTCATCGTAGGTGGCAACCGAACCTCCACCGGAGATTTTTAGCACCCCCTCCTCCATTATGTCCATATAATAGCAAACATGCTAGCTTGTGAGCCGTATGTGCTTAGTAAGTAAATGTTCGTTGTACTTTTCTCGGCAATACTCGCGTGCAGTCTTCTCCCGTCAAAAGAGAAAGTAACATTTTGTTTGGTGAATTTTTAAATAGAATTATGAATTATGATTTCTTATATTTACTTTTTAGATTTTATACGTTTTATACGGTTTTATACTGTTCTACAGCTAGGTGCGTATTGTAATACGTTCAACCCATTGCAATACGCAACTAGCTGTAGCAACAGTAACAAACCAACTTACAGCACACATGATGGATAGCCCATATACACCTGTGGCCACCTTTAAACAAGGAACAGTCCAGATGTGTGGTCATTTCCGAGGACTTAGATAGCATTCCTCACAGTCTGTAACACTTACAGTGGCACTTGCAACCGGAGAATAGACCAGTACAAGCACTGCTATTTGCTACCAAGAGTAGGTGAGGTTGCCCCCAGACCCAGACGTGCTCCTAGGCACAAAAGAAGTCCGGCCATCTTACTGTACCGGCTAGAAATATCCTCGTACACCGCCTACATCTCATCAACGAGCTACGTAAATGTTGATAAATCTGTATAACGTTGTTGATGACAATAGTGGTCGAAAAAACCGACCTTTCTTTGGGACAAATAATCACCTTCCCCATTAATAGTGTTACGAGCGAGGGTGATCGCTACCAAGCTATTTCTATTTTGTCTTGTGTTGTTAATTGTAAACATGATTGTAAGCTATTATTTTTTTTAATAGTCCCGCTGGGTTTCTTGCTGGTTCTTCCCAGGACAGAGGTTTTTTTGCGAACCAGTGGTAAATGAAAAAGTGACTTTCAATAGGTATTGTTTATAATCTACATTGAATAAAAAAGTTTCTGTTTCTGAGTTTGGGGTTCGTGACAATAAAAACTGCTCATTGAATTACCAAAATTAACACTTTAATTACTGAACACCAATTGCAACTAAAACAAAGAAATAATAAAAAACAATTAGCAGTTATATCGCTTCGAAGTATTCGCTTGCATTGCCAATTCACTACTGACTCGGTCGCGGGCTTTACATACTGGTCACAACTGACTAGATGTAGAAATTTCTAGTATGGAATTTCTAGAAAGCTCTCCGAGTTCTGCTACTCGATACTAGATGGTACTAATGATAATCCGCCATGTACCAGGTATTAATTATCATGCTCGTCGCGAGCATTATCGGCCCCATAATTACGCGTCTCTTCCACCTTTCTAAAACGGGCCCGCAACGTCAAGGGTTATCCTCTCCCATGGTGCTGTAAAGATACCCACTGACGATACGTCCATTTAGCATACTTCCAAATGGATGCACTCCAAATAAAAATGTATCCAGATACGGTACCATTGACGATACTTCCATTTGGACGCATAGCGTCACTTCGAACTTGGCAGTCGTACGGAATGGAAATAAATAATACTATGGATAATAATACTTTACCGGCGGCAGCAGTAGCGTGTATTTCATTAAAAAGATAAAAAACCTAAACGGGACAATACATCGTAGTCTTCAAAGATGACAATGCATCTATATTTTCATTTTCAATTGAGGATACATGTAAATGTCTATGGGCCACAGCACCCACCACCAGGTGGACTGTGTGTTAGTTTGTCACTCCAGTTCTAGATATGGTATATATTGTGGCGGAGCAATATCATTGACTGAGGTTGAAATTAAAGAAATCAACATGTAATGCGACTTCGTTCCGGACACATTCTGTGTAACAAGTTTGCTTTCATGATGAAAAAGAAACAATCTCCAAATTGCGATACATGCAAAACAATAGAAGATGTACAACACTTGCTCGCGGAATGTTCCAAAAATCATCATGAAAGGAAACTATTAGTTGCCAAAACTGATATTAAAATTTGTAACCTAGTGGAATATCAAAGCATTCTGTCTGAACCATTGTCTAATGCTGCTCAAATGGTATATAACTTAGTTAATTTTGTGTAAATAATTTAAGAAATTGTAGTGTGTTATTTAGTTATAAGGTACAATGGGACTGACATGTTAAAAATAACCTAAAAAGTTCCTAAATTAAAAAAAAAGAATTAAAAAAAACATATAGAGGATATTTTTCATTATAACTACGTGGTAGAGCAACGTTGCATCTATACTATGGATGTAGCACAAATGGGTTGACTCGAAAGGACCACGATCTCACAAATTAGCATAAAGTAGCAGCTTAAATCTGCTGCATTTCGTATGCTGAGTGTAAAGAACCTATTATCCGGTTTTTACTGGAAACGAAGCACTCCACATAGTTCTACAGGGTGACAATGCGTTTACATTTTGGTTCTCATTCGATGACAGATTCAGTCTATGGGCTACAGTGTCAACTTAACATCATGTGGACTGTGTACTAGTTTGTTGGGTGACAAACAAGTACACAGTTTATAGTTTACATAATAAAACATATTTAATCCAATACACAGTTTATGCTTGATAAACAGAGCACATGTACTACCATCAACACCAAAACATTAACTGACGCAATAACGTCCAAAAAATGGACGCCGGTTCGCCTATTCACTGACGATTCGGACTGCTTCCATTTGGCGTGGCGCATGTTTTCGACATCGACGGACGGCCGCGGACTACGCGACGTCCATTTGGAGTGGACGCATGGATTTCAATCCATTTGGAAATGCAGAGCTGGATGAATTCCATCCGAATGGAATATGTTTTTACCATTCACGGAACGATTTTGGACGATTACCACTCCATTTGGATTAATGGACGTATCGTCAGTGGGTACCATTTTACATTGTACAATTTCAATGCACCTCTACTACGAGTCTGAAGTCCCTTTACAGCCGCACAACTTGTACATTTGCGACACTAATCCTTTACATCGCCACGACAGTGGACCCAGTAAAACCGCTCTTGGATCTTCAGTAGAGTTCGTTTAACTCCCAGATGGCCTCCTAAATAAATATTATGGTACAGCCGTAGAACATCCGGTTCTTTAGATTTAGGGATAACCATTTGCAAATGATACCTGTCTCCCCGATCATTTTCCCTTTTACGGCACAGAACTTCATCCTGAATCAGCAAGCTGTCCCATTGGGCTCAATAGCTTTCCGTGTTAAGACATCGCTCCATTTGGGCTTGGGAGTACTGGCCTTTATCCATTCCAGAATTGGCTTGATGTCCGAATCTACCTGCTGTGCGTCGGCAGTCCTTACTCTTTTGCTTATTAAAATGCTTGCAATCTTCAGGACAAGGTCTTGTTGACAATGCATCCGCTATGCCATGTGCGTTCCAGCTGCGATGTTCGATCACAACACAACACAACAACAGCCATTAATCATGGCGTGCAACAATAGAATAAGTTGCTGTTTTTTAAACAGTGCGATTTAAAAAAACTATTTACGTGAACGTATGGCTGTGAAATTGTTTCCCTGCTTCTAAGAAATGGACAAAACCCAATAACTATCCGCTGTGTGCGAACAAAGTCATGCACCGCTTGTTACTCCTTTTTCACTTTAAAATTAATTAATTAAATAAATGAATGTGAATGGAGTTCGACGCGACAATGGGTACAGATAATCACTGAGCTAATTAAATGTTATGTTTTGTTTCAGTTCGTGGGTGTGGTGACGTACATGATGGGCGTGTGCCACGAGCTGGTCACGCCCGCCATCTCCAAGAAGTCTAAAAAAAAACCCAACCAATCACAGGATGAACTCGAAACTTCCCACCTACTCAACCAATTGAACCAAGAAATTATTGACCTTCTAGTCTTCATGTCGGAGCACTTGGACTCGTGGCCCAAATTCGAATACGAAACGAATATTGAGGAGCAGCTGTCGAAACTGAACATTAGCGAGAACTACCAGTGCCCTGTCACGTCCAGACTGAAGAAGGGCTACCAGGAGACCATACGCTACAGCAAAGACACGCTAGAAGCCAAAGCGAAATACTTAAGGAGTTTGCAGTGAGAGCTGCGCTATTGTTACAAACTTTGCGGGAGTGCGAGTGTTGTTATACATATCTTGTACATTGTGTATTGCTTCCGGCTGACCGCGAGCGAACAGACTAGCTTGTTGTACGTGACGTACCCGTAGTGTCCGACCGAAGCTTCGGCTTCGGCCACCTTCTGCCAAAAAAACACTCGGAGAACCTTCTGCTTCGGCCAAAATGGAACGAAGTTTTATCCGAAGCTGAAGGTTTCAGTAGCAAACGCCGAAATTAAACGAACTGTTTAGAGCTTTAAAATAATTTATATTATTAATATTAGCCACTCTTGAACATAGTGGGACAGTATTTCATGCCGGCACACCGCCTGCAACTTCACAAGGCGCAGGTTCGGCCGCACATGGAATACTGTTCCCATCTCTGGGCTGGGGCTCCCCAGTACCAGCTCCTTCCACTTGACCGCATCCAGCGCAGCGCGGCTCGAATCGTCGACGACCGAGTGCTTTCCGATCGGCTCGATTCACTGGCGCTGCGAAGAGATGTTGCATCTCTTTGCATTTTCTTTCCCATTTACTACGGGGAGTGCTCCGAGGAATTGTTCGGATTAATCCCAGCCACCAAATGTCATGAACGCACATGGCGGCGAAACTCACGATACCATCCACACCATCTGGATGCTTGGCGGTCCACCACTGTACGTTTCACAAGGAATTTTCTTCCGCGTACGACTTCTCTGTGGAATAGTTTACCACCGGCGGTTTTTCCGGACCGATACGACCTGGGGACCTTCAAGAAAAGAGCTTACTCCTTTCTAAAAGGCCGGCAACGCATGTGCAATTCCCCTGGTGTTGTGGTAGTTCATGAACGGCGGGAATCACTTACCATCAGCTGACCCGTATGCTCGTTTGCCCCCTCCTATAAAAAACTAGAATATGTTATAGATTTGCCTTCGGCTTCAGCCGATTAATCGGTTTCGGCTTGGTCCACAAATCGAGCTTCGGTCGGACATTGCGTGCAACGTGCCACGCCCTATGTGTTAATCTGTGACCTGTATAAAACTATATTCGAACATATTTTTCAACAGTGGCGTGTGTGTAATTAACTCCGGGTATTGGGTCGAAGATTGCGATCGCATGTCTCCATGTGTAGACTTTGCCCACACTACACAACGATAAACTAAGTTTGATTGTGAAGACTAACTCTGTTGTTTTCTGTACACAGCTCGGTTGTTTGTTTTATCTGATATTCACAATTTTATATTTATAAAACAAGACAAAATTGTATATTATGATATAACATAAGTTACAGCGCGAGTGCTCTATGTACAAATAAATTCACGAACAGTAAAAGCATAGTGTTTTTTGCTCTCTGATCCCTTGTCACCCAGAACTCATGATTTGTTTACAAAAAATGCCCTTTAAGACAGTTATATTAACTAAATAATCTATCCGGGCAACTAACTATTAGTAAAAAAAAAACTCCCGCGTCCACTGCGGGAACAATTATGTGCTAGTCATACTTTACTGAAGTATCATACCTGAACTTATTAACAGTTATTAGTTTCGATTAAATAAAATTATAAATAATATATTCATGATTTATTTACCTATTTTACTAACGATAACAAAACTGAAAAAGTTAACAACTTCAGTATTTATGAACATTATGACAGATGCAGATGCAGCAATCATTCGCAGATTATTAAGTCCCTGTTTTTGATTTTTACTTCTAAGTATAAAACACAAATACTTTAGCAAGTTTTTCCAGGTTTTTAAGCACATTTTTTCTTTAATGATTTAATCTTTATATTTTTCTTGTAAACATACTACTTTTACAACGCGATCTGTACATCAGTTGTTTTAATTAATTTAACAACCAGCCTCTTGATATAGCGCCCATGTAATCCGCCACCGCCGTAGTGTTACGTTTGAGTATACATTGCTGCTCTTATCATACCTTACTGCTCATTTATTAAGGAATAGTACATAGGGTTGTAAGCAAAAAACGTTTATGTATTAAAAATACTCCAAAGATTTACCATTACAAAATTTAACAGTCCTATACTTCGCTATTTATACACTATTTACACACTTCACTTCAGTTATTTAAAAAATACGTAATCATTTTGTATACCGGCGCTGGTAATCAGTAGAGACCAGCTGCGCTTACAGTCATGTTCATGCGAATAGGCGGGAATACCGCGACCGTCTTTGTGACTATAATATATTAAGTTCCTTGTGTTTGTTGTGTACCATACTACAATAGTCTCTGAATGCGCATTGAGCCATCAGAACTCATCTGATATAATAAATTACCTCACTAATCTCATTCTTATTTATCAAGGTTCAAAGAAGTTGCCAAGCTCAGCTATAACAATTCAAAAAATGTCAGGAAACAGATTGCACACGTGGTTAAGCACTTTAACAATCTTGTAAATAGTTAAAATCGCCTACGGGGCCAGCACTTAACATCCAAGGAACTTTTTGGACAGCGCTTATACAAACAGAAGTCATTAGATATTTATATTGTAGGTAAATTAGTGTTATCGACTCTTAAGAGGTAAAATATTGTTATATCATTATTTTTTGTATGGATGGCAGCAAATATTATAAATAACTAACAATTTCAACTAGTTTTATTTTAACTTATTGAATGAACGCTGTTATTTCAGTACTCCTACTTCCCGAATTCGTGGAAGACTGCTTGGCTCCACCTGATCCCCAAAGAAGAGACCGCTCAGACCCGTCCAACTACAAGCTTATCGCCATCACCTCTTTTTTTCTTCAAAACAATGAAATCCATTATAAACTGCCAGCTCATGACGTACCTTGAGGATTATAAGCTGATTAGTGACCATCAATACGTTTTTCGGCATGGTCAATCATCTGGTAATCTTTTGGTCTACCTGACTCAAATCGGCGGAGGCAGTAAAGTCCAAGGGAGGCATTAGCCTTTCGTTTGGATATAGCGTTGACCTTCGATCGGTTTGGTGCTAAGCACTTCCTTCGAAGCTTCCTGCTTATTGGCTTCCCGAGAAATTGTGCAATTGGGTCACCAGTTTCCTTGGTGATTGGAGCATCAAGGTCGTAGTAGACAGTGAACGCTTCGACTAAAAACCTATCTAATGCTGGTGTTCCTCAAGGCTGTGTGATAGCACTTAAGCTGTTCCTCCTGCATATTATAACGCTCCCCGCGTTTTTCTGATATAAAATGATCGTTTACCAAATTTGTAAATTATTAAACTTTAAAATTTACGTGAAAAGACAAATAAATATTGATGTTTCCAAAGGTTTAGTTATAGATCGCATAAATTTATGACATGATCGTCTTTATTATAGTATAAGGGTGGCAAACGAGCACTCAGTCCACCTGATGGTAAGTGGTTGCTGTGGCCCATAGACATGTACATCTACCGTCGATAACGAATCAAAATGCAGATACGTTTTCATCCGTGAGGACTGACATGGAATGCCTCGTTACAAGTAAGAAGGGTGTACACAACCTGATAGAGCCACAATGCAGCTATCATGGTTGTACCATGAATGGGTCGGCTCGATCGGGGAAGGACCACGCTCTCACAGATTACCAGCGTGAAATAGCAGCTTAAAGCTGCTGTATTTCGTATGGTGACTGTAGAGAACCGGAGACCCTTTTTACTGGAATCGAGGTAGGTGCATCTTAGTCCTCAGGGGTGACAACGCATCCGCATTTTGATTCTTAAGCGATGTAAAAAATGTAGATGACTATGGGCCAAAGTATCCTCTTAACATCAGGTGGTGTGTGCTCGTTTGTCACCCTTATACTATTAAAAGAATCCAGTTCTCTACACTCACCAAACGAAACAGCAGCTATTTGACGCTGGTATCTGTGAGAGCGTGGTCCTTTCCCGCTCGAGCCAGCCCATTCGTGCTACAACTATACAGTAATATAGCTAGTAAGGACCGTTATTTACGTTGTGTTTGCTGTAATTATTGTTACAAGCTTGAGGTTCGTGACAATAAAAATTATGGTTAAAGATATTTTATTCTCAAAAGAAATATACATTTCACTTAATGAGAAGTTACAATATTCAAGTTATAAATAGGTTATGAGCATACAGATAGCAAATATATATATATATATATATATATATATATATATATATATATATATATATATATTAACATTAAAAAGGGAGGAAAGAGTTTCGTGACATACAACTTCTTACTAGATAAGGCATACAACTTAATACTTCCAATATTATCTTTTTGTGTATTGATGTACAAGTTAGCTATATTTTAATAGATAGTAATAAATAAAGTGGGTACTAAGTAAGGTATTTCTTATCGTTACCGATAACGCTGATTAGCGGTCGACATATGGACAGGGTCGGATTTAGAATTTATTCATTATATGTTTTTTTTTTTTGCGCCCGAAGCAATTAAAGGGCTACCCTATACGTAGGGAGACGGAAAATGCATTACGCATACCACGATAGCCGGTCTATCGTGGTTATGAGGGGCTCACTGTCCTACCGGGGACCCTAAGTGATACCCTCTAAAAACCGCCTTTGGGGACAGGCAACCGGCTGATTAAGCTCTATTGTGCCTTATCATGAGCGACCCTCTTTTGGGAAAAGAGGGCGCAGGCGGCTAAGTGCCGCTGAGGGAGTGCCTACGAAGGCAAATTAATGTTAGTTATTACAATAATTTTATTTAATTAGAGTTGGCCTGAGCCGCCAGGAGACAGTTCAGGTCGTTTGAAAGTTTATTAGGCGGGTCCGAGAGAGAGTTTCTCGGCCTGCGGACACGATAGCGAGAGGGGGGGTGGGGCTGCATAAGAAGCTGCCTCACGAATTAAATGGTTTGGGTGCGACTCTGAGGCTTTGAAGAAGTTCTCAGAGAGTTTTTTAAAAAATTGTTGAATTGTTGGGAGCTCTAAGTCCCGATGAAGGTCGGCATTACGGACGTACCAAGGTGCGTTCGCAGCTCGACGACAGAAGAGGTTCTGAACTATTTGGAGTTCATTTAAAATATTAGGGTTT